TGTGTGTGTGTGTGTGTGTGTGTGTGTGTGTGTGTGTGTGTGTGGGCGTGCGCGTGCACTCTCATGTTGCCTATAGACAACTCCAGAAAAAAAGGTGTGACTGTGCGAGGATGTTTCGTTGTGCTTTCACGGACTCATCTGACTCTGCTCAGGATTCCTTCGCCTTACGGAGGACTTGCCGCTGACCGCACAGGGTCTGTGATACCCCTGAAAAAAGTCGTCGACTTCACTCACACCGACCTTTCAATCCTAGCGGACTGTCAGTTGAAACCCCTGACAAGAATGCCAGTAAGTCGGAGAAACTGGCTTGTCACAGCCATAAAGCCCACTCTACCCGCCCACTCAGCCACGGATATCCGGTGTCATGACCACTAGTACGGTCCTTACCCTTAGCCGCATCCGCCTCAATGCAGCGAGTATCAAGGCGGTGTTGTGTGTTGCCACTTTTCCTATACTCCACAAAAAAAGGGAACCTGACTGTGCCAGACTATGTTGTAGGACTTTTCACCAGCTCATCAGAAAGTTGAACCGCTACACTCCCCAGGATGCATTCGACTGATGGCAATTGACTGATGGGTATGGACGCACAACCGTACAAGGGTTAAGGGTAAACCTGAGAAGAGTGGTTGACTTTACTCACACCAACCTTGCAATCCTAGCAGACTGTCTGTCCAAACCCCTGACAAGAATGGCAGTGTGAGAAAGGGTCTGTCACAGCCATAAAACTCACTCTGCACACCCATTCAGCCACCGATATCCACTGGCATGACTGCTTGTAGTACAGACAGGCCGGAGGCTACCGTCTTCAACCGAATAGAACGCCCAGTTATTATAGCTGCATTTGGCACAACTTTCAGTCCAGATGCAGCGATAATTACCGGGCGTTTTATTCGGGTGAACACGGTAGCCGCAGCAGTCGCGGCCTGAATGGGGAGTGTAACAAGGCTGGATTATGTGTTGTCATGTTCACTATGCACGTGTCATGTTCACTATACACGACTCGACAAAAAAGCATGACTGTGGATGGTTTCACCGGACTTTGACTGA